CCATTGATAGATTCTGGGAAAGGGGGAATAATTGTCCTCAGTTGTGTACCCACTCCTAAATCCACAAGGTCCCATTGGATAGCTCCAAACCCATTATTACACAGACAGTTCTGCTTAATTTCAGTGAATCACAAAAGAAAATGAATAGTCTTGAATGTGAGAGAGTGATTTGTGTGGAGAAAGGGAGTGGGAGTGGGAGGAGTGATCGAGTGGTCGGGTGTGTCATGTGTCAAAAATTTTAATTGAATATTTTTTTCTAAAGATAGAAGCAATATAGAAAGACATTTCAATTCTACCAGGGGCCTCAAAGTACACATTCACAAGCATGCAACTGCACACACATGAACATATAGCAATAATAATTTTAAACACAACCAGTAATAATTTTAAAAATGAATTACTGCTTGTCTTTGAGAAGCATCCTTGTCCATGGATGTGCTTTATTCATTCCCTGGGTACCTTTAATTTTTTAAATGAACTACAATTCTGTTTCAAAAAATAAATTTGTGGAGGAAGCTGGAGAAATGTATCTGTGCATAAACAGAAGACTTAAGTTTGCATCCAGAACCTACATAAAACCCAAGCTTGGCACTCCATGCCTGTAATCACAGCTTGAAGACAGATACCCAGGGACCTTGTTGTTCCACCAGTATAGAATCCATGAGCTCCAGCGTCCTGAGAGACCCTGCCTCAATAAGATGGATAGTGATTGGGAAGCATACCATACGGTGGCCTCTTGCCTACAAATCCATGCACACAAACATACACACTACCCCTTGCCTCACATGCCTACACTATACACATATACAATAAAAAACGATCTGTAGAATCAGACTCCTTAATGGAAAATATTCCAGAATTTACACCAATCTGTTTATTTCTCTAACACATGGCAATAGAGGACCTTGGCTGTAGATAAGAGTCAATTCATTGGATGTGATATCCTTAAAAATTATTTTATCCCTCCCCAGTTAAGCACCCCCATTTCCCCTTGATAGTATGCCTGCTATTATACCTCCTCTAGAGTTTCATCTTCTTTACCCCCATGGTACCTTGTATGTCCTTCACTGCTCTCTTCCCAGTTGAATACTCCATTTTCCCCATTTCCCGTAAAAAGCCAGAGGGAAATGTATTAACTCAAAAATCCCCTGAAAAATACACATACAATATCTGAACATGAGTACATGTGTATACCCAAAGGTTACATAACAACAAACACAGTGCCAGACAGGATAAATTTCCCTTCAAGTTGTTAGGGCAGTACTAGAGACTCGCAAAATAATACTATTATTGCCAGAACTTGAAGGTAAGACCCTACTGCTGGAGACAAGACATACTTTGGACACAGGACTTGGAGAAATGGAACTGGAATTGACCTGGAAGCCTCCTCCCTGAAGACTCGCTCTCATATTTCTAGAGGACAATATGCAAGCTGCTAAGGGAGAAAATCAATAGCCCAGCCCAGCTATAAACTTATAAAGTAATCACAAGGACTGGCACAGAAAACTATCTCTATTGGTGCAATAACGGCACTTTTATCTAGGGGGTAATCAACAGCTATCTAGTTGAATTTAAAGCCCTCTCAATGGGAGGGAACTCATGGGTGGCACTGTAAATATAGCCAAATGCACACAGCTGAAGAGATCATAAACCCACAGAAAACCGTCTCTGTCATATCTCTAGACAAATGACATTTCTTGCCATATACTAAATATGGATCTTTATATTTACAGACAAGTATACCATATACCAGTCATCAAATAACCTTCTTTTTGCATCAGTTGGAGGTTATTACAGAGTTCCACAACTGGTTGCACACAAAGAATATATATCTGAGAAATGCTCAGTTCTGAGTGACACATCTACAATGGAACCTCTACTAGGAACACAGCCTAGCAGAACAGGGTGTAGAGAGAATACTAGCACATCCCTCAACTCTCAACAGTGATAGTTCCTCATACAACAGAGTGCAACGCACACAGATGACCAGAACTGGCTAAGTTTTAGGGAATAAGAGACTGCAGACTGAGTGTCCCTGGATAGGACTACTGTACTAAAACTCACCCACCCACAGCTCAGGGACCATTGCAGAAGAGGAATTGGAAAGATAGTGATAGCCAGGTTTGGTTGCATGAACATAAAGAAACAGAGGATTTTAGGCCTCTGGGAACTTGCTCATGAACTTGCAACAATGGTGACAGCATGCACAAGACCCATACCTACTCAATAGGACAAAAACACAGCATAGAATGGGGGAAATGGGCAGCACTGACAAATGATTACTGTAGGGTGAAGGAAAGTAGATCTTCTTTAAGGGAGTGACTCTAGACAGGCTGACTAGACTCCAGTGGATGAACTTGCACCAAGGGACATCTGGGCATAAATGCTTGACCGGGCAACACTTAGCATATATAACAGAATACCTGAAATCTGGTGAGGAAGGCTATGGGGTAGTGGGTATAAATTTGATTAAGATGTATTATATTAAATACTCAGTAAAAGTTCAGAAAAATTATTTTTACTCCCCCACCAGCTTGGATTATCTTTCAAATCAGATGAAATAAAAAAAATTAAGAGCAACATTCTTGTCATAAGAATTCATAAGACTGCAGTCCCTATTGTCAGAATCAGAATAGTGGTGTTCTTAATAATCTGCTTATTGGGTGCTCTATTTTTTTTCTTCAGAATGAGGTGCCACAGACAGAAGCATGGCACCAAGGCAGAACGGCAGCAGAAGTACTACTCCAACCTCACTCCTTTTGTGTCCATATCTTGCTACTAATTAAAACCTCAGAAAATCCTAGAGTCCAGCTTATGCAGAAAATTTATAGGTAGAGTCACACTGGAAAGAGAAAATCCAAACAATAAGACTAACAGAAACATGATTACTTAATACTTTATTTAACACGAGAAGCCAAAGATAATATAATGTTAACAAGGAATAATTAGCAATATAAATCAATTGCTAATTACATGTACAATTCAATATATATTTGAAATTATTTGTATTATCATATAATACATGCCAAATGAAAATTCTGAATGACATTAATTATATATTCTTGCTTCAACATCTTTGAAATGTTACATGTTACAAGTAAATACTACACTGAAATTGTATGCTATAAATTATATTTCTTCATAACTTTCTAATTTAAACTTTTTCACAAAAATACAATCAACATAAACTTAAATCATTTCATACATATTTATTGTTCCATATCTCTAAAATATACTTCAACATCACCTCAAAATTTATTATAAACGAAATTCTGTAAATTTTAACTCTATCTTTTCTGAGTTGTCTGAAATCCAGCATGTTCTCACTTAAACATGGCAACAATAGAAACATTTTGTTGTTTGTACTTTTCCTTTCTTACTAGGTATTTCCAATAGAAGTCATGTCAAAAAACATTGCATGTATGATTATTTTTTATTGTTTCTTACTGTCATTGGAATGTGGCAGTGTTGACATTTCATCATGTGACAGAACAAACTGAGCTTTAGTTTTTGTATGTCTTTGAAATGCAGCATATTCACAGTCCAAGATGTTAGCAGTATAAGGAGATTACTGATAAGTAACATTATATTCATTTTCCTTACTGTGTCTTAGATATACCATGTGGTTTACTACATATAGTAAACACACTTTGGAGTAACACATATCAAGTACTCAATATACAAATGTAGATGGAGTATAGCATAGCAAATGCAGCAATTCTCATGGAAGAAAAAAAGCAGTAAATTCAAACAGAATCATGTACATCAAGAAGAAAGCATAACATCATGTAGTAAAGGAGAACACCTGGGGTAAAGAAATAAAAGTAAAGCAAGAACAGGAAGTGTTATGGCTTGCCTCCTAAAAGTCCTCCCAAGCTGTAAGTTACACTCGTGAAGTGTATATGGAAAGTCCAAACTACTCTTCTCCCTTTCTGGTTGCTGGCACTCATAAAGTGAGAAGATCTTCCTCACCGACAGACTCTCTATCACATTCTGCTTTGCCAAAGTTCCAAAGAAATAGTACTAAGCAACCGTGGAATGACACTTTCACAAGTGGAAACAAACTTTTTCTCCTTATGAGGCTATTGTCTCAGGTATTTAGCACCATGTCAGAAAGCAGACTAACTGAAGTGAGTGAAGGCCTCTAAGGTGGGATCACTTAAACCATAAACTGTGTTGAAGAGTAATACAAGATAGAACACACTTTGTATCGAATAAAGCATGTAAGAAGAAAAACAAAATTTGTGATAAAATAAGTTAAACAACTTTCCAAAATGCACAAAGAAATGGTAGAGAAACAAATAAATTGTGCCTCTGAGTGTCATGAGGGAGGAACCTTGTCTCAGCTGTCTTTTCATTCTTGCAACCTATAATAATATCCCAAACAGATCCTTTGTTAATGTGCATGGAATTTAAAAGGAGTGAGTTATTATTACATGAAAACAGTAGCAAATTATAGATGACGACATCAGTGGGTAGTGAGGATAGATTCTTTTTCTTGCACTGTTAAATTAAGGTGGTTCTCATCAGTAATCAAAGACAACTTTAAATATAGATATTTAATAAAAGATAGGGGATAAATGTATTGACTTCAATAACCACTCTTGACTCTACAAATACCTCAAGGAAAGGTTGGATTGTCATGACTGATGTTAAGTACACACAAGTAAATCAATCCAGGAGGACAGCAGTATGGTATGGAATGACCACGTGGTCAGACTCAAAATTTTACTCAATATACTCATATACTCAAAATTTCAGAGTCAGTAAGATGAAGTACATTAAGAACAATAAACAAGAGATACAAAAACTGCAAAAAAATCCTGCGTTTTCTTTTTACAGTTATTCTTTTGTGGAGATCAGCTACATGTGAATACTTCCTAACTATAGTTTCCTACAGCATAACAATCATATATGGAGCTCACAGGAGCTCCATAAATAAAGAGCATTGAGCACTTACAGGGCATTTATTAAATGGAATCTTTGCTTGAAGGTTAAATTTAGTCAGAATAAGTGATCCATTTCATGTCAGTCCGCTGTGCTGCCGTTAGCAACCTCTTCAATTGCACTTGTACATCAGCAAGCTGCTGAATGTCTAACCTGTCCTGAAAAGGCCAAAATAGAAAGCAATGCACAGGGATGGGATAAACCACATACTTTAACTCTGTTAAGTGTGTTAAGTGATGCAGAATTCTTGTGAGCATACTCATAGTTATGGGGTTGGAGGCAAAGCTAAACACACGGAGTTGGGAACAGTGGCTTAGTGCTGGGATGATAACAGACATTACAGAATCTGTTATCAGGCAGTGATCTATTTCTAGATGCCTCAGAGTACCAGAGACTTTCTCTAGCAGATCCTGAAAGGGCTCACAATCTCCCCAAAATATTCGGTTGTCACTAAGATTCAACAGCGTTAGGTAGTTAGTCTGCGGGCACTGGGACAGAAATTTGAAATCATTGCTAGAAAGTCCACTGAGAGGCAGACTCAGGCAATCCAAAGGAAGTGGAAGGCCTCTGTAGAGAGAAAACAGAAAATCATTACTGAAGAACAATAACTGAATGAAGGAAACCATACCTACGAATCTAGAATAAACTATTTTGCACATATATTTTGCAGCAGCTAACAATGTGGGTTTATATTCACTTAATAGATGTGTATGCTAGGAAAGATAATTTCCCACTCTGACAAATAGTATTTAAACATAAGAATGTGCACAATATATTACTATATTGTGTGAAAGACTTAGTGAAAATTATTAATCGACTTAGTATGTGCAAGGTAACCAAACGTGAAACTAGTTCACTTCTTTGGTGGAGATGGGGCACAGAAGCAACCAATTTTCTGAAAGTACCTTTGTCTAGTCTTTAAATGACAACCTCTATATTTATGGCCTAAAGTTTTGAGATAACAGAGTAGCAAAAGTATTTGACATTATGAACTATGTGTGTCTGGCAATGATGCTCTGTATCAATGCTGCAACATAAAATCTTTGTCCATCTCAATTCCTCCCTTTCATCTCTAGAAGGCTGGAGAAGGACTGCATGTCCTTTTCACATTTATATTGCTGAACTGATGTAATGTCTGCACATGGTTGACTGATTGCTTGGTTTTTGGAATCATGTATTTCTCTGCAATAGGGGGAAAGACTCTCTATGCTTGCTGCTTTTAAACTCCCAGCATTGTCTATGCTGATATGGAAGGAGAAAAGGCATATGTGGAGCTGACCAATAACCAAGAATGTTATCTTTCAAGTTTTAAAAGCAGGCTGGCTGTTCAGGAAACCCAGGTACATACTCCAAGCCCTCACCTCAGAAGATTTCCAATATGATCGGTGAGGCAGAAAGAAGACAAAGTGAGCTCTTTGAGTTTGGACATATGATTCAGATGAGCGGTAAAGTCTTTAAAGGCCTTCCCATTGAAAGATGTGCAAGTGATTTTAGACAAACTAAGTTTGTCCAGCTGGAATACCAGAGACAAAAGTTTAGTGACTTCATTCAGAGTAGCTATTTCAACTGCCAGGTGATTAACACATTTCAAATTCAGGAATCTCAAGGTGTTTTTGCAATTATACAATTTATTGATTTTCAAATCTCGGCAACAGAGGTGCAAAGACCCTAAGCTCTGCTCCACTTTATTCAAAAGCAAAGAAAAAAATGTCCTTTCCCTCAAGGTACCGTCAAGGGAAAGGTCCACTATTAATTGCACAGAATGCCTGGAGGACTGAACCTCAGACTGTGCATTTGCAACATTACACTGCGCTTCTGTATTCTGGGCAGTGTGTTCAAAATAAGCACAGGAATGAAAACAAGTATGTGACTTCTCATGGCTTTCAGGGCATACATTCCTGCAGACAGCATTCTCTCTTAAATCTAGAATCCTCAGTTTAGGGTTCCTGTAGGGAAAAGAGCAAATACAACATTTAAGAAGCTGCAAGCATTAATGTAACAAAGCAGGATTCATGATATATGCAGAGACAAAAGCCCTCTTTGTTCTTCATTCCATATTCACTTATCAGCAAGTGTTTCCTATGCAAATATACAGCATTTATTTTTTTCTATCCTGTATTCTCCTCAAATTCTAATTACACTCACAGTGCTCCTGTCTTCTATGTAGTATATCAAGTATATATATTCACAAACAGTATTCTCAAGGACCATTATAACAAAATAAATACCTTTGTAAGACATCAGAGTCTTTAAGATGACCTCTACAGTTAGAACAACCACATCACATTAACTTTCAGCACTCACTACTAAGTATGGGAGATAAATTGGTCCTCTTTTGCTTTCCTATCATGACATTAGTATACATAGTCTTACTGAGAAGCAGAATTCTGGACTGTAGGGTTCCAAAGACCATCAATAATGGCTTTCAGAATTTCAGTACGTGTACCAAATGGAGACAGATAAACGGTCTGAACATCAACATTGCTGTCAGTGTCTTCTTATGCTCACCCATGAAGGCAGTAGCGAACAATGGAACAAAAAATTCTCTTGGGATCCATTCAAGTGCATAAATATCGACAGTCTCCTAATAATCCCTTTATTCTTGGTCTGCCCTTCCCATAATGACTACCAACAAGTTTTCCCATAAAAATTCAACATCATCATTTTTTCTATCAGTTGCTCTTATCCAAAACTCAGCAATCTTAACTACTTATAATTTTTTTCCAGATATTAACACTCATTACATAAGTCCATTAGTAGTATTGTCAATCAATTATAGTCCATTTCCAAAAATGTAGTGCATTTGTTTTTAAAGTGACCCCACATGCTTCACCAATAGCTTAATATTTTTGTCAGGGTTTACATTAGCTGTTTCTCAGAGATTATCAGGCTGTAGCATAAAGTCTTGCTGTCTTACCATGCCACTATTATGTATATCTTACCAAGATGCTGAGTCCTGGGCAGGAAGGACCTGAAGACTCTCAACCATGGTTTTCACGAGTTCACACTGTGATTCCCGTGCCTTTAATGTCCCCATATGGAGACAGGGAAAGGGCCACATCTTCACAGTTGCCATGAGGATATTCTTATGCCCACCCAGGAAGGCAGCATTGAAAAATGGAACAAAAAGCTTTCTTGGCATCACCCCCAGAGCATGGATCGCTGCACGCTCATTACTCAATAGACTTTGTGTAGCAAGGTCAAACAGTGTGTCTGGTTCCTTGTGGTCCATCTTTCTGAATCTGCATCAGGAAGAAAAACATTTAGAATTTCTGATAGATATCAACCATGTCTTCTTTGCAACCAGTGCTAGCAATGTGGAAAACATTTAGAAAATAAACATGTGGTGCATGTTACAGCCACTTTAGAGACATCTACTAAAGACACAGGTTGAAAATTGACTCATAAGTGTACAAAAGTCTCTTTGGGTATACATGTATATATATAATCAAATTCAATATATGTATTTGCATATGATAAAATGCCAATAGAAATTAGCATTAAATTAGTAGAAGACAATTATAGTCACTTAGCTCCCTGGTTCCTAATATTTACTCTCAAATTTATACAAGCTACCAACAAGGAAAGTGTAAATGTACATAAAATGATACCCTCATCATTATTAGAAATAGAAAATATTAAGACATCAAATTAATTGTGAATAAAGAGGAAAAGAATGATGTTTTATCCCCTGATTTGTACCACTTCCATCAACAAATTTGTGGCAGATGAAGACAGAACAAAACTGTAAGAGACACACATGAATGAATAGTTAAGGACTTCAAACTGACCGAAACCTACAGTCAGAAAGAATTAAACTCTTACAAAAAAGGGATTGAGTATTCTTAGGAAGTCTGAGTATTGGCTTCAAACACTGGTACAAATACAAGTAAAACATGTTCAACAAATCTTAGGTCATGTCATTTTCCTAAGTCTGCCTTATCCCAGGTGAATATGCAAATAAATAGTAAGACTGTATATTTAAAAAGTAATTTGGATGTACATTATGATGTTTATCAAGTTCTCTGGATTGCATTTTAAATGTCTTAGTGTTATTTTATTTACCCCAGACAAGCTCAACATTAGAAAGGTATACAGTTCTCCCCAACTTAATGTATATATTGAAATCTATTTCAAAATTCTTTGCAAACACTTTATGGAATTCTCCAATCTGATTTTATTGAAATATATAAATATATTCAATAACAACTTAAGTAAAAAAGAAATAATAGCTTACAAGAAAAGGAAAACATATGAGAGAAGACTTATCATACCAGACAAGTGATCTCATGATAAAACTTCTGCAACTACAGAGTCATTATACCTGTGCAAGAATCAAGAAACAGGGAGAGAGAGATGACTCAGTGGATGAGACGGCATAATGCAATTGCAGTGAACCTGAGTTCAGTTACCAGCACACACATTGGGTGACTCACAACTGCCTATAATACCATCTCAAGGGTTTCTGACTTCTGGCTTCTCAGAGCACCTGCATTCACATGCACATTCACACACAAATACAAACATACACACACATACACAGACACAATTTAAAACACAATAAAGGTGAGAGAAATAGATAAATAGTTCATGGAATTGTTTAGAAAACCAAGAAACAGAAACTACTACCCAATGGAACTTGGTATGTAATAAGCGTAGCATGAAGAACTCCTGTAGAAAAGATAGACATGGGATCCCCCTGCACCCTGACTAGTTACATTCTCTCTCTACATGTTGTCCCCAATTCTATCCTTGGGCTTAGGCTTGCTTCTGCTCGTCACTCCTGAGACCTCCTGACTAGGCTCCAAAACCAAACCCCACCTACTACGTCTTGATCCCCTGTACGAGCTGCATTCTCCTGCTCCAGGGCTTACACCTACTCTGCTTAGGCAGTCAGACCTTCCTAATGCTGTCACCACCCCAATATTGGCTCTAGGCCCCCTCTTGATTGTCCTACCTGAGCCATCCAAGCTATCTTGGTAGGTCAGACCATTCCCATTGTGTCTTAATTCCCCTGCAGCCTAACCATCGACATTCTCTCTCTCCATGCTTTCTCCATTCCAGCCTTAGGCTTAGGCCCGTTCCTGCTCTTCTCACTTGAAAACCTACCCACTGCATCTTGATCTCCTTGCAACTAGACCAACTGCCTTCTCCTTCTCCAGGGTCCACACCTAATCTGCCTATCTAGTTAGACTTCCCCAAACTGCCCCCACTCCCACACTGGCCCTAAGTCCCTGACTGGTCTTCTTGAGACCTCCTGACTAGCCTGCCGGAACCCAGCCACTGGATCCTCAGAGTCTTGAATTGGGCCTAAGTCCCGTCACCGTACTGGAGAGCTCTTCACTAATCAGCTTGAAACCATCCTATTCCACCAATGAAAAGTAAAAGAAAAAAAAGTGAGAACTCGAAGCACAGACCAACTTGACCAGAAAACAACCAAGTTACATCAACAATCAAACAGAACCAAACTGAAACTAAGCAAAGGCAGGCTAGAATTTCATATCAGATACACAACCAACCAAAGAAATCCATATGCCCAAACCACAATGCAAAAACACAAATAATAGGGAAAACCAAGAGATGTCCCCACTTCCTATAGAAGTGTACTACAGTGAAAACCACCCAGGTGAACCCCAGGATGCAGAATTGAAAAGAACAATCACAAACATAATCAAAGAATTCAATGTGTTTAAAGGACACAGAAACAACTCAAAGAATTCAACAAGGATAAGAATAAACTCCTGAGTGAAGCTTAAGGAAATATGAACATATGGCTGAAAGAAATTACAAAAATAATTCGGGACTTGAGAAGTAAATTCACAAAAAGATAGAAATATTGAAGAAAATACAAGCCAAAATGAAGATGGAGTTAAAATTTAAATAAGTCAATTTGAAACAACAGGAGAAAGCCTCAAGCAGAATGAGTGAAATGGAAAACTCAATATCAAGACTGGATGACAAAGTGGAAGTACTGGCTCACTCAAGGAAAGAATTTTCAAAATTTTGTACAACACAGGAAAGGAATATGCAGGAAATGCGAGACACCATGAAAAAAAAACAAATCTACACATCATAGGCATAGAGAAAGGAGAAGACTCTTAAATCAATGGCATTGACCAGATCTTCAAAAGAATGATGGAAGAAAACTTCCCTAAATTAAGGAACGCTATACCTATGTAGATACAAGAAGCACACAGAACAGCACTTAGGAACAAAAACTCCCCACAGCATATCATAGTAAAAACCCTAAATGTGCAGAACAAGGAGAACTAAAAGTTGCAAAAGACAAACAGGAACTTACATATAACAGATCAGAAGTTATATACAACCCATCAGAATTACAGCTGACATTTCAATGCATACTATAAAAGCCAGAAGAGCCCAAATCAAAGTATTCCTAGCACTAAATGACCGTAGGTGCCAAACCAGAATACTTTACCCAGAAAAACTGCCTATGATAGTTGAAGGGGAAGGAAAAATCTTCCATGCTACAAATAAGCTGAAAAAATTCAGATACACCAAACCAACCCTACAGAGAATACTCAAAGGAATATAAAGGACCAAAGAAAGAAATGACCATACTCAAGGGGTTACAGAAAGAAAGCATTTAGACATATAAAGGATAGAAACATAAACTAAGACTAAGAACATAAACAGAAAATAAAATAGTACTAATTCACAGCTTTCAATAATAATTCAAAACATCAATGGCCTCAACTACTCAGTCAAAAGACACAGACTAGCTGAATGGATTAATAAACTAAATCCATCTAAATGTTTTATGCAAGAAACTCATCTTAATTCTAAGCATAAGCACCACCTTAGGGTGAAAGGATGTACAAAATTATTCTAATAAAATGGCACTAAGAAACAAGCAGGGTTGCTATTCTAAAATAGAGTTCACGTTTAAATTATTCTGAAGACATAAAGACTTCATTCTGCTCAAGGAAGCAATCAAATAAGAACACATAACAATCATAAAATATATGTATCAAACTCTGGTGCACCTAGTTTCATAAAAACAGTACTATTGGACTTCAAAACACAGATTATCCACAACTCGCTAATAGTAGGTGACTTCAATATCATACTTTCTCCAATAGGCTATCTGGCCAAAGAAAAATCAGAGAATCATCAGATTAAACAACATTATACATCAAATGGACCTAACAGACATCTATAGAATATTTTATCAAAACATCAAAGAACACATATTCTACTTAGCAGCCCATGGAAATATCTCTAAAATAGATCCCATACTGGGGCACAAAAGAAAACTCAAGAAATACCAAAAACAACAACAACAAAAAACCTGAAATAAAACTTAAAATCAACAGCAAAAGGGGCTCGATTAACTACATAAAATCATGGAGATTAAACACATTTCTGAATGATGAATGGGTCGAACAAAAAGTCAAGAAAGAAATGAAAGTATTCCTGCAACTCAATGAAAATGATAACACAGCACAGGAAAACTTCTTGGAAACAAGAAAAGCAGTCCTAAGAAGGACATTCATAGCTCTAAGTGCCTACATTAAAAAAAGAAGAAGGGGAGGGGGCTGGAGAGATGGCTCAGCGACTAAGAACACTGGTTGTTCTTGCAGAAGAACTAGGTTGAAATCCCAGCACCCATATGGCAGCTGACAACTGTCCATAACTCCAGTCCCAGGGGATCTGACAGCCTCTTCTGACCTCCACGGGCATTGCACGACACAGGTGCACTTACCTACATGCAGGCAATACACGCATACACATAAAATAAAAATAATAAATAAAATTAAAAAATAAGGGGACGGGAGACATGTCTCAGTGTTTAAGAGCACTGGCTGCTCTTGCAGAAGACCTGGGTTCAATGTCCTGTACCCACACGGCAGCTAACAACCATCCATAGCTACATTACCAAGGGATCCAATCCCCTCTTCTGAGCACAGGCACTTCATGACATGGGCTCTCATACCTACATGCACACAAGACACTCATATACATAAAAAAAATAATAAATAAAATATTTCTTTAAAACATTAGAAAGACCACCCACACAAATGACTTAATGGTACAACTTTAGAATTTGAAAAAGCAAGAACAAAGGAAACCAATTCCCAAAGACAAGAAGAAAGAATAAAAATCAGAGCAGAAATCAATGAAATAGGGACAAACAATGCAAAAGAATCACTGAATGTGATAACTGGTTCTTTGTAAAGGTAAACAAGAGAGACAGACACTTAGGCCACC